AACACACTTACACACACACTCACACACTTGACGTTTTCACAAATCATTCCACAAACACACAACCGACCTCGTAATATGCAATGTTAAGTTCACATTTTGCTACCAAATCTATAAACTGTCATGTCCAACAACAATTAGTACGAGTGCCCTAAAGCGCAGGGTTCGATAATTTGCTGTTACTTCAGTCACGGTAATCAATCATTCGGCACATACCTGGCGCAATAATAAATCAATACTAAACTTCACACGTACATGTGCATACAACATTTGCTTGGGAAATACTTAACAGTTTATGAATGCCTTAAACTATGACGACACAACAGCTGCTCTGCGTCGGAGTCCATAGCAAAGTGTTAAAGTCCAACCCTCATAAACATATAAGTAATCCTGATAAGGGGTCTATCGCAACCATCTGTTTCAGTGATCTTTATCAATTATATATCAGTACATTTAATAAGGTCCCTTTATCAGTTATCGATATAAATGATTTGTAACTTTTAAGATACGTTTATACTTTATCTATTTCAAAGATCAGTGAAGTTTTGTAATATTGTATAATTGTGTTGTACTAATGATATATAAGTATAATGATATCAGTAATTAGTCAGTTATGAAATGTTAGTAATATTGAAAAGAATTCTACATCAGTAATATATATCAGTAATAAGCTTCAATCACCCACACCAGTACTTACATCAGGAATATCTGTCAGTTATATACTCATGGAAACAAATAAGGGAACACATGAAAGTACAAGTGTTCCTTTATTCTTTTCCAGGTTTCTTCACAAGGTATGTATTGCACTCTGGGTGGAACTTTGGAAATAAATAAAGGAACACTTGTACTTTCATGTGTTCCCTTATTTGTTTCCATGAGTATATATCACCTGTCTGTATCATTAATTTCTCATTTATCACTATCAGTAAAATATTAGACAGGATATAAGGGACACACGTACACTGAGAGTGAGTATGGTTTTACGCCGCTTTCAGCAATATTCCAGCAATATCACGGGGACACCAGAAATGGGCTTCACACATTGTACCCATGTGGTCAATCGAACCCGGGTCTTCGGCGTGACGTTTTAACCATTAGGCTACACCACCGGCCCCGTACACTGAGACCTGGTAATTCCGGACGGAATCATATCCGATTTAAAGAGGGAATTAGTTTGCGATGCTGACCTCAACATTAACAGCGTGATTGGGTTCACCGTAAAGGTACAAGAGTTTTGTTTTTAGAATTGTGCCCACTTATGGCATCGAACACGAGCCTTCGGCTTGGCGAGCGAACGCATTCACCACCAGACAGCCTACCCGTCATTAGCTGCGCGTAGAACGCGAGAACCGATACTATCGGTCTTGTCACATACAGACCTGAAATATATTCTTATTGACTAATGGTTGGTTAAGTAGCCTAGTGGTTAAAGTGTTCGCTCGTCACGCCGAAGATCCGGGTTCAACTCCGCACATGAGTACAATGTGTGAAGCCTATTTCTGGTGTCCCCATCCGTATTATTGCAAGAATATTGCTAAAAGCGACGTTAAAACTTATACTCTCACTCTTTTTGACTAAATGCCTAACATAGTTAATATTCTAGCGAGGAATGGAAAGCAGTGGATAAAGTGAAAGCTCAGAGTAACTTTTGTTGCAAACGTCTCAACATAAGGGTGGTTGCTGGAGACTGTACACAAATCAACTCATTGGAATTAAGAGTGGAACCAGTTTGGTTGTTGTGAAACACACACTTTCATTAAACCAATTGGTTTCTTATGAAAGATCAGAAACTGATAATCATCAAGTGAGATAATCATAACATATATATCAAAAAATAAAGGACACCAAACTGCCCGTGAAAACATGTAAAATAATAATCAGATATATGTCTAAAAAACGTCAGAAACCAAACTGACTGAATACAAGAGAAATGATCATTGGATATATGTTTAAATAATAACAGAAACTACACAACTTGCTAAAAATATAAGTATTTATACAAGTTTGATTTTCATAAATATAAGTACAGTACACATCAGCCATATGTCTGGGACACAACAACACACAAATCCTGATAGACGTGAATTAAGAATAAGAAGCCAACATCAGAATCCATAAAACTGCAGAAACTAAACTGACAGACGTGAATTCAGGTGTAATAATCATAAGATACCCGCTCAAGAAACTGCGGAAACTAAACGTATAGACGTGAATTCAGGTGTAATAATCATAACATACCCGCTCAAGAAACTGCAGAAACTAAACTGACAGACGTGAATTCAGGTGTAATAATCATAACATACCCGGCCAAGAAACTGCGGAAACTGAACTGACAGACGTGAATTCAGGTGTAATAATCATAACATACCCGCTCAAGAAACTGCGGAAACTAAACTGACAGACGTGAATTCAGGTGTAATAATCATAACATACCCGCTCAAGAAACTGCGGAAACTAAACTGACAGACGTGAATTCAGGTGTAATAATCATAACATACCCGGCCAAGAAACTGCGGAAACTGAACTGAATAGACGTGCGGAATTCAGACGTGTAATAATAATCATAACATACCCGACCAGGAAACTGCGGAAACTAAACTGATAGACGTGAATTCAGGTGTAATAATCATAACATACCCGACCAAGAAACTGCGGAAACTGAACTGATAGACGTGAATTCAGGTGTAATAATCATAACATACCCGACCAGGAAACTGCGGAAACTAAACTGATAGACGTGAATTGAGGTATAATAATCATAAGATACCTGCTCAAGAAACTGCGGAAACTGAACTGACAGACGTGAATTCAGGTGTAATAATCATAACATACCCGGCCAAGAAACTGCGGAAACTAAACTGATAGACGTGAATTGCGGAGGTGAATTCAGGTGTAATCATAAGATACCCGCTAAACAAGAAACTGCGGAAACTGAACTGACAGACGTGAATTCAGGTGTAATAATCATAACATACCCGACCAGAAACTGCGGAAACTAAACTGATAGACGTGAATTGAGGTGTAATAATCATAACATACCCGACCAAGAAACTGCGGAAACTAAACTGATAGACGTGAATTCAGGTGTAATAATCATAACATACCCGACCAAGAAACTGCGGAAACTAAACTGATAGACGTGAATTCAGGTATAATAATCATAACATACCCGACCAAGAAACTGCGGAAACTAAACTGATAGACGTGAATTGAGGTATAATAATCATAAGATACCTGCTCAAGAAACTGCGGAAACTGAACTGACAGACGTGAATTCAGGTGTAATAATCATAACATACCCGGCCAAGAAACTGCGGAAACTAAACTGATAGACGTGAATTCAGAACCGTGTAATAATCATAACATACCCGGCCAAGAAACTGCGGAAACTGAACTGACAGACGTGAATTCAGGTGTAATAATCATAACATACCCGGCCAAGAAACTGCGGAAACTAAACTGATAGACGTGAATTCAGGTGTAATAATCATAACATACCCGGCCAAGAAACTGCGGAAACTGAACTGACAGACGTGAATTCAGGTGTAATAATCATAACATACCCGGCCAAGAAACTGCGGAAACTAAACTGATAGACGTGAATTCAGGTGTAATAATCATAACATACCCGGCCAAGAAACTGCGGAAAATAAACGTATAGACGTGAATCTGGCTGTAAAAATCATAATATACCAAGCTTAGAAACAGAAACTAAATCTATTTACCATTCATAGTAACGTGTCTGGTCACAGAATGGTCTGGCATATACAGCTTGAGACATTTTGAGACTGTCTCAGCCCATATTTCATCATTGCATCATGCGTGTATGACAGCTGCCCTTATAATAGCCATCGCCCACATGATAACTTAGATTCCGCTTCCTCCAGTCAATCTATATCGGTGGACACTTTGATGATAATTGATAACAGACCACATACTATGTGTGACGTCATACGTATTCCTTAAGTCGGAATGACACGACATGTGAGATACCACTGCAATAGTTTTAATGCTAACTATGGACATTACTTGTAACGAGGCGTTCTAAACGTTCAAGCCGGTAAACGTTGCTTGTACTGTAGTTCTGTAACAGGTCTGTTGTTGTGGGAGGAACCCCGGAGTGATGCGGGTCACAGATGTTCATCGCGTCGGTGATGCGCACGAGCATTGGTGAAAGAAAACCGTCATAACCGAAACGAAACAGGGATTCGAACCGTAGTTTTAAGAGTGAGTGAGTTAGTTTAGTTTTACGCCGCACTCAGCAATATTCCAGCTATATGGCGGCGGTCTGCAAATAATCGAGTCTGGACCAGACAATCCAGTGATCAACAGCATGAGCATCGATCAGCGCAATTGGGAACCGATGACATGTGTCAACCAAGCCACCGAGCTTGACCACCCGATCCCGTTAGTCGCCTCTTACGATAAGCGTGGGTTACTGAAGGTTCATTCTAACCCGGACCTTCACGGGTGTAGTTTTAAGAATTCAGATCATGTACAAATCCATCCTCCAGAGTCAGTCAAGCGCTGACATAGACTATTTTGATAGCATACATCTCTCTCTGACTTATAGCCACAGGAATAGAAAAGAATCGGTTGTTACATCTTGGTGTAGCTGTTACACCGTCTGACAAATCCATTACATCTCATCCGATGGTATTGAACATAATTCTTGGCATATCATCACGTGTACAGTTGCAAAGTGGCATCATTGAGATTCCTTAACGTCGAGAGCTGCTGTGAGAGTATTGACTATCCATACTGTGTCAATTAGATGTACTGTATATGTAGAAGAGCTCGCATCGACATAGCGACAATCGCGACGGATGTGAATTTAATTGAATATGTAACCTAATATGAACGTTTCTGAATGGTGACTCACGACAGTGTTGGCATTAACGGCACATGTTGACAGAATCACAGTCACAGCCGGGACGGTGCGTCATCGTCGACAACGACTCATTGTACAAAAATAATTTGTAAACAAAAACAAAGATACTTACCCATTCCAGGAATGAAGATATTCAGCACTAAACAGAAAACAGCGACTGGCTTCGACATGGCAGGAATTGAGTCTCTAAGACTGGTATCTCCCTCGGTTAATTTCTCCTTTGACCTGTGAACCATAACAGACGGAGGGGCCCCACAATATACCCCGGTAGTACAGGTCGTCCGTAGCCCCCCTGGTAAGCTTTCCTCTGCAGCCTTGGGGAGGGGGTGGGTGTCGATGATCCGCCACTGTACACAACCTGCATGGCGTCCACAGGATGGGTAGAGCTTGTAATTTATGGCTATTCAAGCGAGGAGGTAGCGCTTTACATAAAACGTCTTGATCCAGTCTCAGACAAACACGACAGGGAATCCAGCTCCTTTTGTGTTGCGCTGAGCTTACTACTGTACTGGTGGAGCGCTGGCCTTACCTTCCTCTCCGTCGCTTCATGCGTTCTATAGTTACTTAGGCGAGTTTTGTCTGGATGCCTCAAGCGATTGATCTGGCGTGAGCGGGTGCGAAGCCTGGACAGGTAGATTTGGAATCCGACGGGGTGACGAGGAGATGACGAAGTGGAACATTTACACACAGCTGATGAGTGTAAACAGAAAGTAGGTTAGACTGTCTACGAGCTGTCCTCGGCTTCAACTGAGGACTACAATATGTTGTCGCAAATACTCCTTGAGGGATGTTGGAGACGTTCACGTTGCGGCTGTGGCGGAGTGGTAATGTCCAGTTGAATGACCATGCTGGTCAAATGTCCGTCCCGTCCCCACATGGGCGGTGTGGCAGGCTGATTGAGTTAGGAATCCGACATCGATTTGTAGTATCCCTGTTGTGGTTGCTGAACTGAGGCGCTTGGAAACAGCTGGCGGAGAGACGGCTTTGTCAATTAATAACTCAACGGTTGTTTCACGGGCAGCTTCTCGCCACCCACGGTTGACCAAAATGAAACTACGAAGAGGACTGTCTTTCGCAAGAGTTCTCCGTTACGTTGATACACCTTCGCAGGTAGAGAGCAGGGGATCACGAACTGTAGTTTACCTTCTTCGTGTGTATGTGGGTTTTAGCCTAGAAATAGCGTCTCCGTCGCCCAACATCTTGACTATATATTACAAAGATTTCTTCCCAAGATAAATGAAGTGGCGGTTGGGGGTTGACGTTTGGATTGTTTTGGGAGGAGTAGGTTTATGTCATCTTCCCAGTTTAATTATAACGAATAAGTGTTTATATATGATATACAATAAAGTACGTCTATAACGAATTGGAAGGGGCCATTTAATTTTAGTTCGAGATAACCGTAGTTCGTGTTACACATTTAGATTAAATTACACAGCAAATGACCTGGGTCAATAAAAACATTTCGTTAAAGATAAAATCAATTTTGAAGATTATGATCCGCTTCCGTGAGGTCGAATCTCCCATGGTCCTTGGTCAGTGCCATAACGTGATGGGCATAACGTGCACGTGATGGGCGAGAACACTCTGTTTCGTGGGACTTGGGTATGGTTTCGGGGTAGGAATAGACTGGGATTAGGAATAGTTTTATGTGTTGTTTTAATGTTTGGGTTGAATATATGAGTCAAAGTAGTTGGAATTAACTATCAGATTTGTGTTTGGGGAAATGTTAAGGCCTGGGGATAAGGTTGTAGGATTTCGAGATATGTGTGAGTTCGATCTAGGTGAGGATGAAACGTAGGATGTTTTAAGGGAAGTATGGAGCGGTTATGGATTGAGAGAACCGGCTGACGGAGTTGGTACAAACTTCCTCATATTTTTATGACATTTACGTTATGTGGTTCGAAAAGGATGAGATCATTGATGACGTCATTAAGTAGCATTGTGTCACACAGTGACGTCATCCAGACAATCACCACGCCTCTCCCTCCTAGCATAATCTAACATATTCTTCAATACCACCTTATTCCACATGCCGTATCAGCAAAATAGTACCCGTGTCAAAAGAGCGTATGCAAGTATGGCAATTAATTAGACATTCCTCTGAAGAACTGGGACCGGAATGTGTTTGTTCTCCAGGTCTAAACTACTTCCAGCCGCGTCAGCCGTAAAAGAGACGTAAACCCGCTATATCTTGATCACTTTATTTAGAATTGAAGGCCATGTGGCCAAGAGTACAACAGCTAATACAACATTGTCATGGTGTGTAGAGTTGAAATATAATTCATAATACAATTATTTTAACGTTTTGCTTCAGGAATATACATATTCCTTTAAGAACAGTGACACTGTGTATCTTCATAAGGGCTCGGAATTTGACAATTGAAGGTGGGCTGTAGAAATAGGCTGGAATACATTGGGATCTGCATCGGTTATAAAATGGACATATTAACAACATGTGATATTCGTCTTCAAGCACGTTTAAAGTACATTTGTTACAAACTAATTCTTTATATGGGACACTTATCTTTGAAAACGTTGTTTTTGTATATGTTATAAGTTATGGGATTGGCATCGGAATTTGATCAACATTCGCATAAGATCCCTGCATATCGTCCCTATATATCCCTATATCCCTGCATATCGTCCCGGCCATATGTTTCTTTCAATAATAGGGGCGGTGGGGTAGACCAGTGGTCACAGCATTTGCTCGTCACACCAAAGATCCGAGTTCGATTCCCCACATGGGTACAATGTGTGAGGGCCATCTCTGGTGTTCCCCGCCGTGATGTTCCTGGAATATTGCTGAAAGCTGCGTAAAACTAAATTCACTCACTCACTCTTTCAATAACACCCAACATCTATACGAAGAGATTGATCAGAATCGAACGCAGATGCTCGATCATATCCCCACACAAGTATTGTCAAACTAACTTTGAATATGTTGAATATAACCGTATAAATGTCTTTTTTAAATTATTGAGAAAATGGATCATTTCCGATCAGCCGTGATGATACCGACAAACCATATGCTCAGTGAAGGGTGGTATATTTTGTGTATATTTATAGTAGAATGGGATTTTAACGATGTACTAAGATGTCATCATCTAACTGCTTTGTGATTAATGTTCACTGTATCTGCTGTCAAACCACTTTGCAATATGAAAGGATAAAGTTCTTAGTTTTGCCTTGAAAAATTAATGTTTGATTGTGTTTGTTTTACGACTATTTGATATTTGATAACTGGAAAAAAAAATGGTTATATTTAATATGGTAATGATTTTGATAAATCGATTCTAGTGTAACTTCCGGCATCTGATATGTGCAGTTGACGAGACGACCCGGTATATCAAGAGTTATCGTCTTACAACATTAGATTTATAACACAGAGACATAATAGAATAGGTTAAATGCATTGAAAAGGATGTAATTTTTAGATTTAGGTAGACGTCCATCGCCTAATTCTGAAACTTCGCTTTCGTCGATATATGTATAACTCGAAGTAAATTCGATTTCGAGCTGACAGAGCTTCACTGTGTGAAATGTAACATTTGTTATATTTGGGATTACACTTTCTTAGTAAAGTACAGATTCTAATACTTTTTGGGTTGAGTCCCATCCGGGATTCGCACCTAATCGCCAGCACACTAACCCGCTCAGCCGCCGTGACTTCCACATAAAAGTGTACTAGAATCTGTACTTTACTAAGAAAGTGTAATCCCAAATATAACATATGTTACATTTGACCACTTTCTAAATGGCATTTTGTATTCATCTTCACTGTGTCAGTTGTTTGTGAATGTTACTTTATACGGCCCCGTGATGATGGTGATTGTGATGGTGATGGTGATGGTGCTGGTGCTGCTGCTGCTGCTGCTGCTGATGATGATATTGATGATGATGACCAGGTTGAGGATAATTGTGGTGGTCATGATGATGATGATGATGATGATGATGATGATGAGATTCCATATCATCAGTCAGCTATGACCAAATAACCAAATTCATCATGCGCAAAGACCCAGTAGCATGGATGGCAGCCCTGTTGCGTGGATCGGTGTTTACAAAATCCATCACCGAATCGTCTGGTCCATTTTCGATCATAAACATGGCGTCACACGGGAACATATGAATCCTGTCCACGCGTGATATCTTTGATGTCGCTGTTGGGCGCCACAGATCTGATAAAAACAAGGAAACCATTTGTTATCCTATTGTGTTCCTTTGTCGATCCGTGGCTGCACTACGCGACTGAACCTCTTCACACGTTAACGATGTTCTTTACTGACGTCATGCATACGCTGACAAAAGACATTTGCAGATTCAGAAAGATTAACCGAGCGGAGACACACATCAGTTAAGTCCTAACGTTTCGGTTCACCAGCCCCTAACGTGTATAAGTAACATCAACGTCTACTCCAGCGGCACAATGAAAGCTCATATTCCATGCACGAGAGGCGTATAAAGTGTTGTGCTGACGGGACGGTATTTGGCGGAAAACTCTGGGGTTCTCTACCATGCTGATCTTAATTTAGCAGACGAGCATTCCGACGGACGACAACATGCGACTACACGCTGTTAGTTCCTGGAATGTTGTTTACGAATGTATTACATGTAATTATGGCGCCGCCATTTTGTCGATGGCTGATCACGTCAGATGACAAACAAAGGTGTCCTTGACCTGTATGTGACCCCCTTGGCGAGTCTTATAACGATGTTATTATTATATGGCGATGTATAGTATGACCAGAAATTATTGAGAATTTTAGGAATATGTTTAGTTGGATTTCTAGTATAAACAACCTTGACCAGCTATCAAGTGCTTGGTTTCATTCAAAAGAAACAACTCCGTTAATCTTTTTCATTAGTTTGTGAAGAGTTATCCCCCTTTGTTTACTTGCTAGCAGACGACATTTTCAGTGATCCTCAGTATGGATGATTTAGAGAGGAAGTTGATTTTAGAGTATTATAACAAGGACATCAGATCAGCTAAAGTGAGTTCAAGTAGAACAGGCATCCCTTTGTCCACTGTTTATCGTGTTTTGAAAAATATTGCAAATGGATATGGCATTGAGCACCAGGGAGGCGCAGGTAGGCCCAGAAAATTGACTGTCGGTGACAGGAGGCGGCTTGGTATTCTTGTTTCTAAAAACAAACGAAGGAGTTTAGAAACCTTAAGGCTGATATGATAACCTTATGATTGATAGAGGAACTGTGGCTGTCTGTAAGGAGACAATTAGAACTGAGCTGCATGCAATGGGTTGGCAGAAAAGTCGAGGAATTCCATCACCGATCATGAAACCTGAACAAAAGGAGCGAAGGTTGAACTGGTGCTTACAGCATAGAAATTTTAACTGGGACAATGTGATTTTCTCAGATGAAAGTTCTGTGTGGTTGTTTCCTAATACACTGAAATTCTGGACCAAACAAACTGAAAAACCTTTGTAACAGCGCCCAAAGTACAGTCCGAAATTTAACGTGTGGGGTGGCATATCTGTGTTAGGGGCAACGCCCCTCTGTGTATTTGAAGGGAATATGAACAGTGAGTGGTACACAGATATTCTCGAGGGACATTTACTTCCATCTGCTCACGTGTTCTATGGAAATGTTTGGATTTTCCAGCAGGACAACGACCCAAAACATCGTCCAAAGCATTCAAAGGCCTGGTTTCGGACCCAAAATATGACATTATTAGATTGGCCAAGCTATAGCCCTGACCTAATTCCAATAGAAAATGTTTGGAGACTTATAAAGGAAAGTGTCAATAAGAAAAATCTGAGAAATATTGCTGAAATGAAAGAAGAGGTGGTCCGATATTGGGACAGCATGGACCACGATTTTCTAACTTCTCTGATCAGTAGTATGCCCCGCCGCATTGAAGCCTGCATTGCTGCCTATGGTGACTTGACAAAATACTAACTGTTCACCTGTCTTTGAATCTGGAGTTATGTTCTGCTAATATTCACATTTAATACGTGAGTAATGAGTGAAAAGAATTAAAAAATTACAATCTTTAAATTCTCAATAATTTCTGGTTGTACTGTATTATGGTATATCTAGGGTATTTTTACTCATATGCCCTGATATATATTTCAAAGACCTGACAATTACCTCACTAGTTAAGCCCACGAGGAGAGCATTGTGTTCTCAACCTAGAAACATAAACAGTGCTTATAGGTTTCCGGCACAAACGTATAAACCACCCAGAGTCCTTCATCTCTACCACATTCCAAAGACTAACTTGAAACGATTTGGCCAAAGATCTTTCAATTATAATGCTGCAGTTCTATGGAACAAACTCTCAAGTGAACTCAAAGAACTCGAAACGCTCTCGCTAAAAACATATCTCTTCCGACAGTCATACCTGGACTAAAATCTATACTGCCTTGTGTTTGTGTTCCCATTGACAGAGTTAATATTGTAGTATATTTGTATCGCTTTGAGCGTACACAGGGGGATGCTCTGGGAATCATGTATGGAGTTGGTGCCGTATAAATGGACTCATTATTATTACTGGCAAGCCAAGACTATTCACAGAGATTGCGGTGCATCAGGACGGCTTGGCCACCCTCAGTCTCGGTCCATCAAGACTGGGCGTTACGTCCATGTGGGGGATCGAACCTATGTCTTCGTCGTGACGAGTCTACTTGGATACCTTGGAGAGAGGGCACCTTTTGGTCAGTTGCCTAAGGTTCCTCATTACGTGCGGAGTTACGTCCCTTGGGCACTCTCGAACCCTTGGGTCGTCGGTTCGCGTTCTGGTTCGTCCTGAATATGTTTCCTGGTTTGCCTGCTGCACCAAAGTGGTTCACATGGTTCACACCCGAAACCTTCATCACCCCAGGTCTGATAACCACTGATAACAATGGAATGCTCACCAAAGGGGATTCATGATCAATGTTGTGGTTTGTGGTCCGCAAGTGAGTTTGTTACAAATTGCCTTTGTTCGCCCAGCAGAAAATGGGTACCCGGTGGGATAAGTCATATGACTATTACATTTCTAGCGCCTCACAGGCAGTTCTGGGTTAACCGGGGTAATTATGCATTATGATTTTGTATGCCCGTGCGGCGAGGAGTAAGTGGCGTTATCATTATTAAAGTCAAGTCACAAAGTGATTTCCAAGGTCCGGTTTAGAACTGAC